GACAGACCCCTTCACCACACCACTAATACGTGAGAGGTGTGTGTGTGTGTGTGTGTGTGTGTGTGTGTGCGTGTGTGTGTGTGTGTGTGTGTGACCGTACTTGCTGGGATTATTGTGTAACTTAACTCCCACACTCACGAACCACCTCTCTTCATCACTCCCTTCCTCCCTCCCCTCATCACCCCCTTCCCCTTATCCTGGTTACTCTCCAAAGTCCTGGCTCTAGTCAGAGGCCTGACTGACTTCTATACCGGAATTGGAGACAAATATTGAAGTTAGATGAAATTGTACGTATTAATTGGGAATGTGTAGGTGTAGTGAGGGAGGGAGGGGGAGAGAAAGGGGGGGAGAGAGTTAGGGGAGATAGAGAGAGGGAGGAGTCGAGGTCTGGTTTGTGTCCACCTGTAGGAGTTCCTGATTGGTTGCACTGTGCCAGCTGATTATGACGTCATCTTGCCCCATTTGCGATTGGTTGTAGTGTGCCAGCTGATTATGACGTCATCTTACCCCATTTGCGATTGGTTGTAGTGTGCCACCTGATTATGACGTCATCTTACCCCATTTGCGATTGGTTGTAGTGTGCCACCTGATTATGACGTCATCTTACCCCATTTCTGATTGGCTGCACAATAGCGTCACGGAATCTTTTATATTGATCGAAGTTTAAATCATAGAGGACGATGGCTTAGCAGGACGATGGTTTAATAGGATGATGGTTTAAGGATGAGGATGATGAGATAAACCTTCATCCTCTTAGGGTTTAACCAAGTCGTTGAAGAAGTCTCTATTTTAATTTTTTATCTAAGTGGCCGAACGCTTATTATCGTTTACGAGCACCACGGTTCATTGCTCTGTTTACATTATTGTTTCCTTTTATTGAAGTAGTTTCAGGTGGTGCACGTGAGAAACTCTAGGTGAAGCGTCATTGTTGATACTAGAGGTGTAGTGTTGTAGTGTACTTGAGAAGAGGGTAAGAAGGAGCGCTGCCATTGGCCGGTTGGTGAAGGAAGTAAGGCTCAGTGAGACTTTGGCAGCAGCTGGTGATGCCCGTCTTCCGGCTCACCTCCGCTAGTGACCACCACCGCCTCCTGCTGGACCTTACTGCTCCTGCCGTCACCACACTCCTCGCCCCGCCACACATGCCCCTTCTGGATCTCCACGTCGTTGGATCCTGACGCCCATTCATGGTGGTGCTGCTGGGGGCCTCACCCACCAGGAGGCGGCCGAGACATCCTGCAGGAGTAGGATGGACACTAACAACAGCGACGATGACGACGCCTTTGGTATGTTTGGGGGCTATGCGTCGCGTCCCCGAGCTCAAAGGTCCCTCTCCCAGGTGGTGGTGTCAGGCGCCCACGACTTCTTCAGCCAAGCTGTTGCCGCCGCCTCCTCCTCCCCCGCCGCCCATGGAACTACCCAGAACACTTACTTGAGCGCCCCAACTGGTCATGTGCGGCGCAAGAGCGGGGAGGACAGACCCAGGGCCAGCGGGGAACGACGCAGGAGTCTGATAGCTGAGGTCCTCGTGTGGGGCAAGAACTGGTGCGGTTCTCACTGTCTCCCCCCGGCCCAGGGCTCCCACACCTGTTCTACTTGCCCCCACACCTGTCCATGATCCCAAACACATGTACCTGCTTCCAATAACACACACACACACACCTGAAAAATGCCCCATCCCTGCTATACATGACTCCACACCTGTCTCCAAACCTACACACATCTCCATACCTTTCATAGTCGAGTCATATATGTGTGGGATCCCTGGACCACATTTCTAGATCTATATTAACTATAATCCAATATAATCGACTATACTTATCTTCTCCCTGGTAACCTATAGTGTCTAGAACTATAATCGCGTTAGGTTTTGTTATAGGAGTTCTGTTGAGGTCATACAGAAAATAAACGAATCTTTCTTCTCACTCATGTTACTCCTTTCTCTACCCTCCTCCACCCACATCCTGTAACCACTCTTTCACCCCTCCACCTTCTGCCATCCTTCCACCTTCTATCTCCATCCCCCACTCTGTCGCCTCCCCTCCCCACTGTCGTCGCCTCATACCCCTCCCCCCACTCGTCGCCTCATACCCCTTCCCCCCACTCGTCAACTTCAAAACGATAACTTATGACTTTAGGACGATCATATGTAAACAAACCCCTCCTCTCCTTCCCCCTCCTCAGTGATACACATTCCCATTACGACAAGAGGCATTATAATATACGACCCTTTGAGTCTAATAATCCAATAAAAATGATACTTGAGAATAATGTATAACACCTTAAAATATATTATACTAGTTTGGTGAATAATAATGTGTGAGGCTAGAAAGTGATGATGACTGGTGGTAATAGTGATGATGATGATGATGACAGTGGTGATTGTGATAGTATTGATGATGGTGATAATAGTGGTGTGAACGTATCTAGTTAAGGTAGTGTCTCAGTGTTAATTTTGTCTCCTAACTGGTGGTGCTAAGTGAACGTATCTAGTTAAGGTAGTGTCTCAGTGTTAATTTTGTCTCCTAACTGGTGGTGCTAAGTGAACGTATCTAGTTAAGGTAGAGTCTCAGTGTTAATTTTTCCGCCAGTTTTAGGTCTGGGTGTTTAGTTAATATTCTTACATCATAACTAACGAGCCATGACCTTAACTACCTTGACCTCGGTTCTCAATGCTTCTTATAATAAAATTCTCCCATAACTGACTAACTTAAGATGACAAGGAAAATGCCATCGATATTCCACTACGTTTTGGCATTCCCGGTAAGGAAGAGGGAGAGAGAGGGGAGGAGGAGGAGGAGGAGGAAGAAGAAGAAGAAGAAGAAGAAGAAGAAGAAGAGGTTAGTTAGTATGCAGTGCCATGCGTTATCAACATTGTCATGCACCTCAAGTTTTGGGGAGACATGATTTGTATGTATGTATGTGTATGTATGTAAGTAAGTATGCATGTGTGTGTGTGTGTATGTATGTATGCAGCATCATCCTCGCCTCACAAGTGAGCGGACCCGGGTTCGATCCCCAGACAGGGTGAAACTATGGGTAAGTTTCTTTACGCCATTTGCCTCTGTCTACCCAGTAGTAATTGGGGACCTGGATGTTAATCGATTTGTGGATCGTGTTCCGGGGTAATGGTTAGCCAGTGCAGTTGGCGAGTTGTCCGGTCTTCTCGGACTATTCCTTGACACTGGGTCATGCAACTCGTTAACTCAGGGTGTGGTTGTTGTATTGGCGACAGCTTTTACACCTTAAACAAATTCACGCCTAGGTGGCCCTTGGGCCGGCCATCCTCGATTTCGAGGGGCTTCCATTATTATGTATATATATGTATATGACCTATAATACGAATTGACCTTGATATGACCTCACTATAACATGACCTTGATATATCGATTTGACATGAGTTGATATATGAATTTTAACCTGATATTATGTAGTGACATGACTTATTGATAAACATTTATAACCAGTGTTGATATATGACCTCAGCTTGACCTTACATGACCCGAGGTTGACCTAAGATTCCTGGAATAAGGTCACGCTGTCTGGGGAAGGTCACGACTCGTAAATATGCACTAGACCTCGCCGCTCTGGGAGGTATTGTGGCCTCCTGTGTCTCGCCCGGCCTCCACTATTACCTCCCGTCTACACCATTACCTCCCGTCTTGGCCTGTACCTCCACCATTACTTCCTGTCCACCATCACTTCCTGTCTCCACCACTACCCCCTGTCTCCACCACTACCCCCTGACGCCATTCGAGTATAATCTTTCTGTAAATTAAAACTCAAGAATATTTCTCACCTCTGATTTGATAAAATAAAATAAAATTATCCCTTTCTTTCTTTATTTTGTTTTGTTTATGGTCTGTATATGATAGTAATCGGTAGTTAAAATAAGAACTGGGACAAGGCACCGGCGTAATAGCGTCACGAGCGTGGTAAAATAGCCCTTATTTGCACCGGTAATAGAGCTCCTAATTTCCTGTGTGTAATAATGCTAGGTAATGGTTTTTGGGTCGTGGTGAGTATTTAATTACGAGTATTAACGAATCGTAAGTATTAGAACCATTGACAAAATATACCCATAGCTTATAACGTCATTTACTTGCCTCTAACTACTATATAACTAAGGTATTTAGGGTCATAACAAGGTATATAATTACGGTAATGGATCGCCAATTAAAAATAATGAAAGATACAATTCCATGATACGAAAAAATGTTAAATAACAACGATATTTTAGTACCGTGGGCGAGCATAGAACGGTCATATTGGACGGTGAATTATAAGCCCTCCCAATTGACGCCTTTTGCCCCTTTTACGTGAATATTTACCCGAATATCCTTGTTGTCGTGGCTATTTTGAAGTTGTTGGCTATTTTGAAGTGTCCATGGCCATAAATGTAACCAAAAACATCGATAGAAAACCATTGTTACTTGGGATTTATTCATACAGTAGTTACCAGTTATTGGGATTTCTTAGGATTTCTTCATAGTTACCAGTTATTGAAGGAGCAATACAGTACTGTACTTTTTCCTGTGGTGGGCTCGGCTGATGCTGTAATTTCATGTAGTCTTTAGCTCAGGGAATTACAGATGGATGAATTACAAAACCCAGTCTCTGTAATGTTGCCTGTACTGTATGTCTGTATCCACTTGATGTTAGGTTACAGTACAGCCTTTAAGTTACAGATACAGTATAAATCATTCACAATTACACAGGTAGGTTACAGTTTAAGGAACGTACTATGATGCTAACACCTTTTGCAATCCACTGTATTTTTACTGTAATTACGATTTTGTATTAAGTGTTGGATTTTGAGTAACCTGTACCTAACCTAACTTAACTTGACCTCATCCCCCAATTAGTGTTAGGTTAGTGCTAGGGTGATTAATCGTCAGGTGAAATAAGCCAGGTTAGATTAGATTAGGGTGATTAATCTTCAGGTGATCTCTCTCGTATATATTGCATAACAGTTGACTAATAGATGGGTTACTCTTCCACAGGTTGATCGAGACGGATTCCAAGTCGCTCAACTCTCTCTCCACACAGTCGGTGGGGTCAGCTACAGGTGCTGGCCATTCTCGCAAGTCATCGGACACCTCACAGGTATACATACGTCACGTCGACACCCGGAAGAGATTTTGTTGCGGTGTAAAATGTAGAGAATTGATATTTTTTTGAAGTTCTGTTTTATGAATGTATTCAGTCTCCAAGCACCTCCCTACCCAGTCTCCAAGCAGCATCTTCCTCCCTACCCAGTCTCCAAGCACCTTCCTCCCTACCCAGTCTCCAAGCACCCTCCTCCTCCTACCCAGTCTCCAAGGACCTTCCTCCCTACCCAATCTACAAGCACCTTCCCCCCCTACCCAGTCTCCAAGTGCCTTCCCCCTGTACCCAGTCTCCAGGCACCTCCCCCTACCAAGTCTCCAAATACCCTTCTTCCCCACATCTCCTCCTACCCAGTCTCCAAACACCCTCCTCCCTACCTCCCTTCCCCCTACCAATTCTCCCAGCACCCTCCTCCCTCCCTCTCTGTCACCACCATCATTACAGACTACAGTCAATCTAGCCATGAGAAAATGATACTGACATACGACCCACCAACAGATCTCAGTGGCTTCAGGAGGCTCAAGCGGCTCCTCGGGCGGGGGCTCGACTGGGGGATCGCAGCTACAGGATCCAGAGGAGGATCTTTGGGGCCTGTGGGGACGTCTGGTCAACGACTGGGAAACATGGAACAAGAAGAAGAGTTTGCAGCTCAAGGTAAGACGATACTTTATCCTCTGTAGCGTGTTGTTCTTATGCCTCACACAATGGAACCTATTTGAAAGGGCTATGTGGAGAGGAAAGTCCATTATATCGAGGGTCCGTTAGATGTGAAACTTCCCACCTAACGGATTATATGCAGAGAGAAGTCCGTTATAAAGAGGTTTCACTATAAAACGTTGCACTTATCACTTATCAGATAGCTGGTGAAATTGAATCTTTAATGATAACGTGAGAATTATAGCTATCATAAACATTAGTTAATAAAAACCACTATCTTGTCGGATCTTAGTTGAAACTTAAAAATTATCATAAGCATTAGAGTGAGCTTATCAAAAGTACTTTAACTTCAAAAACCATGAAGTTACAGAATGAGAAAATTAACGTTTTCTTTTTTGACCTCATATTAAACCTTCACTACAGGGACACCATTTAATATTTTATTTGCCTAACTCCAGACAATTTTACTCAGCACAGAGGACCCCATACAGGTGTTAATAGACTATCGTAAACATTGTGTAAGTTAGCCAAGAATATCTCCGTTATGTCATTACGTAGCCAATCAGACATCCTCTGATACTTTTCATCACTTGCAGGAGTTGGTGCGGAAGGGTATCCCCCACCATTTCCGAGGGATCACTTGGCAGCTACTCTGCTCTGCTCACAACTCTCCGGAGAAGGGAAAATACGCAGAATACCTCAGAACAACATCAGCTTGCGAGAAGGTGAGGAGAGGGGATGATGAGGAGGGTGAGAAGGTGAGATGGGATGGTGAGGAGAGTGAGGTGATGTGATAGGATGGTGATGAGCCCGAGAAGATGAGGTGATGAGATGGTAATGAGTCCAGTTAGATTACATGTCAGACTTTCCATGTTTATTCCATTTTATTTTATTGTTATGAAGAATTTTAAAAGAGTTAAGAATTTTAATAACACATCTAAGTTAAGGACACTGGAATGCAAATGCTAAGAGAGAGGAATTTTTGGGGGCATTACAGTATTAGAAAAGTAATAAAAACAATAATGACAGTAAAATAGTTGTGATGGGAGGTATTGGATGGTAAAATACTAATTAGATTTGTTTTTCAGGTTATTCGTAGGGACATCGCTCGCACTTACCCCGAGCATGACTTTTTCAAGGAGAAGGATGGTCTGGGACAAGAGAGTCTGTTTAACGTAATGAAAGCTTACTCGCTCCATGACAGAGAAGTTGGTTATTGCCAAGGGTCTGCGTTCATTGTTGGTCTCCTGTTGATGCAGGTAAAGTGACACTCCTACTTGTGTTTTGGGTCATATTTTGCCATACTGTACTTGTTTTTATGCCATATATATTCATACTTGTATGTTTTGCCATGTTTTGCCATACCTGCACTTTTTGCCATTTTGTACTTTGTCACGGCATTCATGTGTCTGAGGTGTTATTATTCTTGCAGATGCCGGAAGAAGAGGCCTTTGCCGTCTTAGTCAAGCTGATGCAGGACTACCGGATGCGTGAGATGTTCAAACCCTCCATGGCAGAGTTGGGACTGTGTATGTACCAGCTGGAGTGTCTCATTCAGGAACACTTGCCGGATCTTCATGCTCACTTCACTTCACAGAGCTTTCACACTTCAATGTAAGTCAGATGATTCAATAATGTTTCTGTTTATCATCCTCACTGTTTGTCCTCCTTTGTGTAGGGTGGATTGATGGGTACAGAAAGCTTGAAGAAACAAGGGGTAATTTCTCTATCATTCTCACCTTTTTTCCTCTTTTGTTTTGGGTGATCAATGGGCACAGACACCTCAAAGAAAGTCGTGGAAATAGCAGCGTAGAATGGCGCAGCGTACATGATGCAGCAACACTTTCGATTAGGTTATTCGATAAAATTAATGAGGGAGGAACGTCACTTTAGATTGTAGGTAAAGATGCGTGCAAGATTTTCATTTTAGGGTGAGGGGTTACTCTTTCATTAAATTCAACTCAATTTTTTTTTTTTAACAGGTACGCTTCATCATGGTTCCTGACGTTGTTCTCCACCACGCTGCCTCAGCCTCTTGCGTGCCGTGTAATGGACTGTTTCTTAGTGGATGGTCTAGAAGTCATATTCAGGATGGCTTTGGCTTGTCTTACCCTGGGGAAAGAAGATCTGTTTTGTATGGACATGGAGGGAATGCTCAAGGTGATGATAATTATTGTCTTGGCATATTTTAACTTTTTCTTGTGGGCTTTGTTTTTTTTTAGAGAGAAAGTGAATATTAGATGTAATTATTTTCACACAATACACCTTTCTCTTTCTCTGATATTTATTGTATTTCTCTCTCCTTTCCTTACTCTCACACATGCTATAGCTCCCTCCTTCCTTACTCCCACACATGCTACAGCTTCCTCCTTCCCTACTCCCACATACATTATAGCTCCATCCTTCCCTACTCCCACACATGCTACAGCTTCCTCCTTCCCTACTCCCACATACATTATAGCTCCCTCCTTCCTTACTCCCACACATGCTATAGCTCCCTCCTTCCTTACTCCCACACATACAAAAGCTTCCTTATCTACTACGGGTATATCTTCCTCATAAACCGCTCCTATACATACCAGGTACTACATCTCCCCCCTTGCTTCCTCGTATACAGTATGCAAGTTGCTTTTATGGTACAGTACCTCCTTATCCCCTTCTGTGCTTATAATTCTTTCCTGTTTTATGAGTTCCCAAAATACTTTTATATGCCACTGTTGTTGATAGAGGATAGAAAGCATTTGCCTCTACCATTCATTCAAGTAATTGTCTAGCTTTTCCACGTTTGGGCATCGTTTATTTAAAAAAAATCTAGCGTGAAATGTGTTGCTAGTTTGTTTTGTCATCTCCATTGTCCCTCACATATTTCCTGATGTAATTGCACCCTACTGTATATCTATTTCATGAAGAGGAATTCCTTACTGATTGAAAGTTATATACCAGGCAATTTTTTATTTTATTTTACTTATTTTATTTATTTTTTCAGTATTTTCAACGGGATTTACCGGCCAAGTTTGAAGCAGATCCCGAGGGTTACTTTTCATTAGCTTACTCCTTACGATATAATGTTAAAAAGATGAAGAAAATGGAGAAGGAATACACAGCAATGAAGACTAAAGAGCAAGAGGAGCTAGTGGAACTGAAAGTAAGTAAAGTACTACTCTATAAATTGTCCTCTTGATATATACTGTACTCTGAGACCTTAAACAAGAGGACTAAGTGGAACTGAAATGAGTACTATACTGTATAAATAATCTTCTTGATAAACTGTACTCTTGAGATTAAGGTGTCATGTGGCCATCCTGAGTGGCAAACAATTGTACTTCTTCAAAAAATACTGAAGTAAATTATTTATCTTAATGTTGTTCCCGTTTCAGAGACTACGGACAGAGAACAGACTGTTACGGCAGAGAATAGACTGTTTGGAGGCAGAGTCCTCGGCTCTTGCTGACAGACTTATCCAGGGCCAGGTGTCTCGAGCTGAGGAGGCAGAACACAACTTTGCTATTAAGGTATGATTTAGGGAACACGCAACTGATCTGGTTCTTAGTGTAGGTATTCCTCCACTGATGATGATGCACTGTGTGAAATAATTGAGTTATGGAGACTTGATTTGTGAGAATTTTGAGTTATGGGGACTTGATTTGTGAGAATTTTAAGTTATGGAGACTTGATTTATGAAAATTTTATGTCTAAAAGATTTTTCAAGAATGGAACCCTTATGTAAATCAATTCATACCTGTATCTATGTTTTGTATAGACTTACATACCAGTGCACTGCACAATAGACTAACCAATTGAAATTCTGTATTAACATTTACCCAAGAAAATTCCAAACTGCTTTTATATTTTATTTATTAGTACAATTTAATGCATGTATACGATGACCCTATGGAAATGATGTATTTTTGTCTCCTTATAGCGGGAGTTGGCTGCATTGAGACAACACGACGGGGAAACGATGGAACACTTGATGGATGCTCGTGAGAAGATCCGTAAACTGACTGGAATGATCGAGGAGGTACGACTACCCTGGGTTATCTGTTTTACTGTACTTTAAGATATTTCAGATCTCTGGCATCATGTTTTAGGACTAGACATATACCTGTAACTACTTTACTATGCTTTAACCCCTTGTGGATAATGATTTAATCCTTTGTGAATTACAGTTTAACTCTTTGCGGATGATGGTTTAAACCTTTGTGGATGTCGATGATAGTTTAACCCTTTGAGAATGATGGTTTAAACCCTTGTGGATGTTGATAGTTTTAACTCATTGAGGATGATGATTTAAACCTTTCTTGATTATAGTTTAACCCTTTGTGGATCCTGGTTTAAATCTTTGTGGATGATAGTTTTAACTCCTTGTGGATGATGATTTAATCCTGCAGGACTCAAAGGGTTAATAAATAAACTAGAATAGAATTTCACTCTAGTATTGGAAGGTAAGATCAGGTTAGGTTTGAGCCATTGTTTCAGAATTATAGGAAGTGGGGTATTTGAGGCTACTCGTTCATCCAGCAAACCATACCTAAGGTCACTTCGTTCAATATCTTAATAAAAGCTTCAGTGAATCAGCGATCAGTATGAAGCTACGTAAAGAGTTATAGTGTATGGATATTTTGACTAGTTTTGATGATGAGCATTTTCCCAACTTCATTTATCATTATTTTGACTCCTGTTTTATTTAGAAATGTTGAAGGTTGTGCATCATTTTCAATAATAGATTAGTTGAACTTAAATGCAACTAATAACGTAAGTAGTAAGATATATTTTTTAACATTTACCGGGTATCAGTATTACAGGCATTAATAAAGAGCATTGTTGAGATAGTTATTTTAGAAAACATATTTGTAAGAGCACTGATGCTTAGAATACTGCTTATTTAGTAAGTATTATGAATGTTCAGCTTATGAGAACAATTTGTTTTCAGAATTGCTCTTCTCGAGAATCATCCCTGGCAGAGCTGATGGTCAAAGAGGAAGAATTGAGACAGAAAGAAGAGTTGGTTAAATGTCTACAAGAGGAGCTAGTTCAGGTCAGCTCTGGCAGAGTAATCCCAATACTGTTTATTGTAGTGTAAACCTTGGGTAGGATCATAGTGTTGAGAACAAGACAGTAAAGCAAACACCAATGTCTCAGTAGGTGACTCACTGCATTGTGTTTTGGTTGGATGACTGAACATCTTTTGTACAGTACAGTACGGTACATTACTATTGAATATGAATTATCAAATATTTATGGGACAAGATGGCGACTAACTATTGTAGTCTATATTTTTAAGAAAATGTATATAAAGGTGATTTTAAAAAATGGGCACAGCATAATTGACTTTTTAAATATGTATTCTAAATATCTTTAATTATTTTAAAGGTCATTAATTAACACTAATTACTGGAATTTTTAAACTGTAAACCCAGATCCTTAATCAGTATGTAGTAAAAATAGTCTATATTTTGAAGATAATGTCTATACAGTATCTTATGTGAAATATATCTGTAGGTAAGACTGAAGACAGCAGAGGCAGAAGCTACTATTCGTGATCTTCGAGCCAGGATCCAAGAACTAGAAGAGGAACAGAAGAAGTTAAGGGAAGCTACTCCAGAGCACTCAGTGGCCCACCTTCAGGAGGAGTTGATCGCTGTACGATTACGAGAGGCAGAAGCCAACCTCGCACTCAAGGATCTCAGGCACAGAGTTCAAGAGCTCACTCAGCTTTGGACGAAACATGTGCAGGTAAGACTAGTGTCATTTTCTTTAATTAAAAATAAAAAAGTAGCAGTACAAGTTAACATGAAACATCCTAAAATATAGTAATTCTGGTAAACCATTTTTCTTACTGTAAAAATGTAGGCAGTTAAATGGCTCTGATTCTAATGACTCAACATAACCTAACCATCACAATCTGGATCTTACTTAACAGAGGACATAAATGAATTGAGTCCTATAAAGATACTAATGAATATATCTACAGGAACTTTGTTGTTTACTGCCCAAACAAATTGGCAGCATTACATGTTCCAGCTTTTAAAGTATGCAAGTATATTTATGTGAAAAAAAATTGTCTGCATTTCAGTTAGGACTAGTTTACTTTTATCCTCTTTGCCATTAATCAGCTCGTTAGCCGCTTGGGCGGTCGGTCACGTCTCTGTTACGCACTGTTGGCAAGTACTGGATCCTAAATGCATGTGTACCTGCGCCATTGTATTTTTGTTTCCATTTTTGTATTTAAGGATACAAAGAAATGTGTGTGCAGTATTTTTATTTTCTTGAACTTTTCACTGTCACTTTTTACACTTGTCTTACACCATTTTTATTAACTATCAAAGTCATTTTCTTTTAAGGTTTCTGTTCCCCTTAAACTACCCCACCCCCCAAAAAGTATGAGAAGATGAAAGATAATAAAACCTTTTTAATTCCTTTACTTTAGGACCAACATGGAGATAAGAGTGAAGCAGCTAAGCCAGATGTGACCAGCACACCCAGCAAAAAGCTCGGCCTCTTCTGGGACAGGTCTAACGAAGCTGCCAAACTGGAGGAGGAACTCATGACCACCAAGTTACATGAGACTGCTGCTGTGGCTGAACTGAAGGAAGCAAGATTAAAGGTTCGTGGTCATTTACAACAGCTTGTTGGTGTGTGAATGTGGAAGTGTGTGTGTGAGGTATTAGATAAATGTTAATAGTAAATATGAACAAAAGTACAGTAGTGTTATAAATAAGTAGTGAAGAGGGACAAAGAGCAGTAAATGTTAGGTTTTTAGTTAACATTTAATTGGCAGTCATCATTAGTGGAAGTTAGCTGTAGGGACGGCAGCCATCATCAGTGGACGTTTCATGTTCATATAGGGGCAGAGTGGGGAATCCTTAGCTGCCAGTTCAAAGTTAAACAGATAGAATGGAGGAGATGGAGTGTTTCAGATAATGGGGAGTGGATGTAACAATACATATATGGATCAGTGACTGGTAAATGACAAAGCATAGGAAGGAAAATAGTAATAAGTAGATTGAGAAATGTTTTGAGAGGGAATAATGGTAAAAGGCAAAGATGCACATGTTTTGGGCAATAGTTAAGCTAGTATAGTATAATATTATGGATGTTCTTAAGTTAACTAAGGAGTTGTGATGCAAGAGGAAGAAAGAACATAGAAGTGACAAATAATATGGTAGACAGCAAAATGTGCAGTAAATGTGACACAGAACTGAAGAAGACAAAATACGGAGACATGAAGGAGTAAGAAGTACTTGTTTGGGTGATCAAGGTGTGCTTGACTCACTCAACACTGTTGGTCATTCACTCCACTTATAGGAGAGGGATTTACTAACTGAGAGGAAAGTCTGTTATATCAAGGGTCCTTTACATATGAAACCTCCATCTAACAAACTATATAACTATGAAAAGTACATTATATTGAGGGTTCCATATAACAGTATAGTAATGATGTATGGAGAGAGAAATCCATAATATAGAGGGTACACTGTATAAAGGATATTTCACGTTACAGGTCATGGAGCTGGAGACGGCTGTGCAGGTGTCCACGAATCAGATGAAACGGCAAGAAGAAGAGAACAAGAGGTTACAAGAAGCTCTCGACTCGGCAGAAGCCAACATCCGCACCATGCAGTCCCAGCTGGGCGATCACAAGAGAAAATACACTGATCTTGAAAGCCAAGTTTGTACTCCTGTGTTTTTCCCTGTAGAGTTGATAATCTCCTGAAATATCTAATATATTGTTTGAGGGTAAGAAATATTCTACAATGCCAATGATAGTTTACAGCTTGCATCATGGAAGGGAAAGGCTGACCAATGTGTTAAAGAAAATAGGGAGTTTATTTTGACATGGCCATCTTCTGTAGGGAAATAAAGTTTTACAAATAATAATAACTACCTCATATTTTTAAGAAGACATGTTATTTATCATTTTGTATTTTCTAGAGTATTGATAGAGAATCTTGCTATCACTTAAAAATACTGATGGGCTTTTTCTAATAAAATTCCTCCCCCTTAGATGAAGGAAGAGAAAATGCTGGCAAGAATTCGTGAGGCTGAGAAGTCTCAGAGTTTAGCCGAACTTACTCAGAAGATTTCCTCATTAGAATATAAGGTAAGTTAATTAGTATTCACTTGTTCATGTATTCTGAGTAATATATAATCTACCAAGTGTGGACATCAACTTCATAACAAAGTAACAAAAAAACCCGGATAGTTAGTGGTTAAATGATAAATGATTAATAATGAAAAAAGTTGTAGAATTTTTTACTATTTGACTGTACTGTACTGCATTTACATTCACCATTTGACTGTGTACTTTACTGCATTTGCAAGTTGAGGATATGAATAAGTAGAAAGTAGTATAATCAACAATATCGCCTGGTATATAAATTATGCCTTATGTAAATACCTTAAACCGTATCTAATCGTGTGGAATCATTTAGTTTATGGTGATGATAAGATGGAAACCTTTCAGAACCAAGAACTAGTGACGGAAGGTGAAGTGTCACGTGTAGGCGGCAGTGACAGTGACCAAGTTCCCCGACTCCAGGACAAAGTGGCTGAGCTTCAGTCAGAGGTAAGATTTAAGTCAATACCTAGTGTGTCGTACTAATTCCAACATGACATTCTCAGTCACTATGAGAACCGGACTCAAAGTGTATTACTGACTGAGAAGAACTTGTCAAATACTCAAAACAAAATGAGGTTATACTTTGATGATGATTCGCTACATTTTGCATTATTGAAACCTGGACGTGAATCGATACCATTTCTAGATTTTCCTTTAGTTTATCCACGCAGGTAAACTTATACTGAATATCAACAAAGCAAAATGGAGTGAACGTCGTGTATTGAGTGTTAATGTTGACGAAGTCTGTAATATTACTGTCAGAGAATTTAAGTCATACAATAGGTAAGAGCCTCTGCCCTTACAGCATTAATATTGCAGATCTTTCATTGGACTGTCTAGGTAATGGAAGAGTTAGATCACTGCACTCAGCACCCAGAATTTCCATCTACTTTTGGTTCTTGTGTTATAAAAGATGATGAAAATTTGCATAGTTCATAAAGGAATATAATGTGCATAATTTTAATACTTCAAAATACAAGAACCATAACCACTTGCTCACCTCTCACCTGTGTCACGTTTTTTGGACGCTTTATGCAGCAGAAGTCTCTCTCTCTCTCACTCACTCACGAACTCACACTTGCTTAATGTCTCAAAGGCTTCAGTGCTTCTCCACATATTAAAAACTGAATACTGTACCACAAATGATTAATCTTACTTTGAACATATATCAAAAATAACAAAATTAACACCAATTACACCCAAATATTTGAAGTTTTCACCAGTATGGGATCAACTTTATATTTTTTCAGTTTTCTTGTTCAGATTTCTTTAAAGTTAAGCTCATACTTATTAATTTTTTAACATTATTGACAGGTTTAAATATCTAGTATCTTTATCACTGATTCTTGAAGTACTGTCGGTGTTTCAGAGATTTTAACAGAAGTGGAGTTGACCCAAGACTTACCCCGCTAAGAAAATATAACTTGGATTGATTCATTACGTTGGGTAACTCCTCATTGGTTCCAAGACATGTTCAAATTCCCCCATTGGCCTCAGCTAGATCCTAACTCTGTTTATGTATGCGGTGAAACATACAGTCGCCCATAAGAGTCCCGTTGCCTCTCCTCTTCAAAAATTAACCCCGGGATTCAGACTCGTGAATCTGAAGCATTTATGGATGGAATAATACACCCTACTGCTTTGGGTTCACGAATCTGAATCTTGGGGTTCGTGAAGCAGGAGGAGAGACAACAGGACTTTTCTGGGTGACTGTACATGTTTATATTATACCTTCAATTATGATCATTTACTTAACTTATTCATTTTATTTGAAACTAGATCGAGCTTCTTCTTAATAATTTGAATTTAAAGTGACCCAAGTATCTGGCTGTTCTCACCTACTGCACCTTCAGGACTATTTTTAACATCCACTCCCCCACTTCAAGAAAAGCTCACTTGTGTACTAGAAGGACTAAACTTCTGATTTTATAGCATTAGTAATAGATGCCATGCAAACTTGCTTTTTATTGTCCATGGTACTATTTCTGAAGAGCTGCTTAATAAACTCACCTCCATGTGCTTATGCTTGCAATTCCCATCCTATATGTTCTTGTGGCTAGTCTCAGTATACTATATACTGTACCAGGATGGTGATTCATTAGTTCAGTCAGGACTCCCCCTGTCTAAGATCATCTCATAAAACTAACGGCATGAATTCCAATATCAAAATTTTTATATTTCTTACTAAATGAGACATTAAGTTCTTATCTTGAAGCTCAGATGTGAAGTATAGTAATTGTTCAACTCCCTTTGCAAAATGTTTGGAATACTGAGAAAAAGTTAAGGATTTTATATAACCCAACACAAGTGACCTACATCAAATATTACACACAACAATGTGCTGCAGATCCTTAGGTTAACATAGATTATACTCATAAGAGAACTGGGTGTCACATTTTACTTTTATTTCATACTTTACATGTGGTATCAAAATTTTCAAATAGTTAGAAAAAAATCTTTGTTTACTTCCTAACACCAAGCTGAGTGACTGCCTCACCCACTAAATCTTCTAATTCTACTTAATTAGGTTTTTGTCACGTATGTAATATCACTTTTAACCATGGTTTTCTAACACATTTGCACCAGCAGCCGACAGAGAAGTAAGGACAGCGTAAGTGCTTTGGCATCATAGTTATGCATGCCCACTCGTGCCAATAAGTTGTAGAAACACCATCTTGGTGTTTGACTTGCATGATGATCTTGCCTGCTTTATGTCTCAAATGAAAACTAACCTTCGTCTCTCTGTAGTTTTTTTATGTGTATGAAAGTTATAAATGCAGATCATCTTTGAATTGTTGTTTCTACAGAGGTTTACATCATCTCTACCATAATTAGCTGTTGTGTGTTTCCTACGTTGTGGTTAGTGAGATGTTTACTGTAAGAGTCGCCACCTCACTGTGTTGTGGCCTACTGGGTAGATGGATATTACATTACACAGGACTCTTGCACCAACCATGCATGCCCTTAAAATTTTCAGACAGTTATCAGTAGCACGAAACTGTTGTCTTTTTAGAATGAAACTGAAAATCTATTTCCCATACAGTACCTCATGATGGGTAACCAAGCAGTTAAAATGTGTACAGTATTTTTGGGTTTCTGTGTTCTCTTATTTCATAATGCTTAATGATCTTCAGTATTAAGATCTCTTTTATATAAAACTTATGATTTCATGAAGCTAAAGTGTAGAATATGTATATTATAATAAACTTCCATTTGAATGTAATATAAAACCCACTCGCCCTTGCTTTGCACGCGGACACTCTGTTCTTACAAGACTTTTCTTAAAATGTTCATATACTTTTACAATTAAATATTTCTTATTTTTTCCCCCTTCCTGAATTTTGCCACAATAAGTTCCCTCTCGATACATATAATAGTAACAGTGAAGTGCTAAGAACAGCGGAACATTGTGGGAAGATATTAAGAAACTAACCACGAAGGAATGAGGTATGGAGTAGCAAATACTTTAATGTTTCCTGATAACTAACATAATAAGGTTGGGTCATACTGAGATATTTTACCATAAGAACAAGTTTAGGATAAGACTGTTATTGTGAGAATTGACAATGTTATGCAAGAACAAGTTTAGGATAAGACTGTTATTATGAGAACTGACAATGTTATGCTGCTTCCTTACGTATCAAAGGCTTGGTACACAGTGCGCTCTACCCACAATGTACCAAATGGTCTGTCAGGACTATGGAACCCACATTCAGTAATGACTTGGGGCAGTTTTTTAATTATATACATACATTATCTGTCATTACACAGGGTCATGTTTTTTATGAATGAGGAATTTGAGGTAAGGTTAGGTAATTAAATGAGAATATATTATGTTATGTTATCTATTTTTTTTTCCTGTTAAACCCTTATTAAAATTTAGCTCTGAATAAACGAAGTTTTATATTAGGGAAGTGAATTACCCGCTAACATTTACAAATATTTAACTTGCACCAAATTTACACAGTTAATGTTTTAGTTCCCCATTGGTAAATTTGGTAAAGTTAGTTTAGTTTCTACCCAATGCTACACGAACTATTACAAATAAAACATTAACAAAGATTTTATAACTAATATTTGTGTATCACCTGGAGTACGGCTAGTTTTGAATGATACCTGAGATATAAGGACACATTAGAACTCTTTTGGTTGATATGGGGACAGTAGGAGGTATGTATAAGCATCTGTTGTATGATTGTTCCTCGGTTGATACCCATTTTTGGGGCTGGTGTGTTGCATTACATGTATCAAACGATTAAGAAGCAACTGCTACTAATTATACATAAATTACTATCATAACAAATTTTAAATCAAACTAAAATGTTCAAGTACTCATGTTATTTTGTTCTACTCAGATTGCACGGCTCACTGCAATCAATCGCCGACTGACGCGTACTGTAAGCATGCAGAGACTGGATATTGTGAGTGGACCGGAGTCTGACGTTGAGGATACGGATGAATATAGATTATACATAGAGGACTCAGATTCACCACCAAAGAAATACGACTCTACCACAAAGGAAGAAAACGGAGACATAGACTACGCGAGAGAGGAAAGCAGAGAAAGAATACCCTCCATTGGAAGCGACAGGTCAACGCCCTCACCGTCGAGAGAAACGGTGAACAGAAAAACATCACAGACACTTGCCGAAGCATTCCTTGAGCAGTTACCAGAAGTCAGAAACTGTGATGACGCATATCAAAATGGCTCCGCAACTCAAGAAGAGAGAGAGGCATGCTAGTGATTCATATAGTGAACTTCTCGGTGGGAGTCAGTATAGGTGGTTGCTAGTGATATGCAACTTAATGAAGTGGACAGCTTTAAAATATGAAGTAGGTGTAAGAACATTTTTATTGATGTACATAAAATTAGGGAAAGAAAAGTCATTGAACTGTGTTTGTAAACATTTTTAAGTTAAGATAATGTAAACACAAAAGTCCTTGCATGTGGGACACTAAACAAGCATCAGTTGTCATGTATTCTACTTGGATATTTGGCACTTATGGCTAGTTCATCCATTTTATCCTGTGGGCCATGTCAGTTTAGTGTGCATTTATGAGTATATTTATACTTTCATATATATATGAGCTTAATTCTCTCAATGAATTAATTTAACTAAATCTTCCTCTGAAACGTCAGGAAAAAATATATTTATTGGCATTGATGATTATGCCCGTGTCTTCAGTGTGGTAAATGGAAAATATGACATTGATTGGCTTAAGTTTGTTCATCTTAAAATGATTCCTTGCCAGGTGGCTTAAACAAGTTGAGGTGGCCAAAATGTAGTGCATTTACATAGAAACTGTTGTCACATTTTCACTCACCTTCTTATGCGATACTTAAGTCCTAGACCCTCAGCAGCGAGCCAGGCTACTTTGGACTCGTCTTGACTGAGGACGCCCAATATTCATATACTGTTTGTCCAAAAGATACCATTTCAATTCCTTGGATAGTTGAAATCTCTCTTTTTCCTGAGTGACTCATTTCTGGTGAGATTAAATGAGTAAATGTTAGAAAGATGCACTGACTTGTGGAAAGTTAGACTTAAGCCAATGAACTGTAGATTAGTGATGTTGGTTGGAAATTGGATTGATCAAGATGAACTGCAGAACTGAGATGTGAGAGACTACCAGATTGTAGCAATAGGACATATGCTTCACAAGTATTTATAGGCACAATCAATGTAAAGCTGTGATGTTTTCCTTCTGCCTTCACTTCTCCTCGGAGAAGGACGGTTAACGAAACCAAAACAAAGATATATAATTTATTTATTTAGGTTTCAGTTTTGTATGTACTTACCTTATGTATATATACTAAGTAACAGTTGATCCATTTTTTTTTCTGTAAACTTAATATTTGTATTTTATTTCTTACCATTTTTACACAATTACTATATCATACTACAGTGTATCCTTATTCAACCGTCTTCCTTAAAATCATATATGGGAGTGACAATCACAAGGTGCAGTCCATTGGATTTTCTTACTTAAGACTATTTCCCTACTCCCTGCCTTAATATGTTATGTTGCTGCAGAATAATGATTTCTACTTAATAAAACTAACTTGCAAGTGTCCCAGAGGTGCTACATTCACTCCTGTCATTGTGAGTTTGTCATGCTTTAAATTTGTGCTGGTAAAATATACTGTACTAGATTCAGGTCATTTTTGTATAATTTTGCAAGTGTTTATTGACATTTATGCAGTATAGTTCACATGTAATTGTTCTTATAAGATTTGAGACCCCATATGCTTCAAAACGATAGCTCCTGTTTGTATGTGGCTTCATTGTTTATTATTCAATCACTATTTACAGCTGTTATTTGCAAGCATACTAGATCTACTGTACACACAGGCACCGTCACTTAGTAATAGAATTTATTCAATACTCAATATTTCCATACTTACGAGTTAATTATCTACTCATGGATGGGAATTTGCACCTACTCTTGTATTTTGAATCATCAGTAGGGACAAATTTTAATATATGAGCAATGTTCATGGCTAACTTATTCTCAGTATATGCTAGTACTGTGAGAACTTGAGAGTCCCCATAGAATCTTTGATATTGAATGTTATTATTAAGTTAACTGATGAGGGAAGGACTTGTGCATACTTGAGAAGAGAAAGGGATGATGATGACATTCCACTAATGTTCTGCAATGTGAAGTTTATCTTGAACAGCAATGATACTTCAATAAATATAAACACATATACAGGTTTATTTTTTTTTCAATTCTTAATTATCAAACTAAACATGTTTGAGGAAATATGATTGGAAAACTGAACAGGTGTGAGGCAGTTTAATTATAAAACTTTAACAGGTCTGAGGAAAGTCCCATAAGGAAAAAGATGAATTTCACCTCTTTTGCATTTTAAAGCCATTTTCAACAGATACAAGGACTTGAATTTCTGTTATACCTATACAACTCAATTCACTTACCACTATCTTTGTTAATATTATACATATGTATCCTTCCTCACTAGGGTTGCTCATTTTTTTACACTTTTTTAAAATTGTGGGTGGGGGTGTTTTTTCCCATTATTTTGTTACTCCTGGATTCATTGGTGCCAGAATTAATGAAATCCAACATGTTCTAGGGGTCGCGAATCCAAATATAAAAAATGAATTTTTGCGAAAAAACGTCAAAACTCAAGCTTTTTCTCTTATAGATCAGCAATCGCGCTGCTTTTCACGACTTAACCCTAATGGCTGGCTAGAGCAGCTATTCAGCTTTCCATTGACACCTAATTCGATTGCATGCACCTCTTATTTGACCTTCTAAGTCAGGTCAAAGGCTGTAGCCTACCTGCATTAATGGAGTTATAAATTCACTAGGTTCACATTGGCAGCTTTAAAACCCTGCGCTTCTTTGCAGTGTTTTGACATGTGTTGTGTTGTTGGTACTGTGGTGTTATTTTATAATTTACTCAAATCTGCTATATAGTGTGGCAGTAAATTTATGGTTATCTATTTATGTTGTATTTTCTACAGGTGATTAAATTGCTCTTATGTGACCCTATTTTGTTTGCCTATTTTGTTTTATTACAAAACGTTTTTTTCTTACAGAGTTCATCTGTTTATATACATACAATCATGGAAGAGAGTGAGTCACAGTCGGGGGAGAATGCTAAGGGGACTGTCAGGCCAACATCATCCACTACCCGTTCTGCCACTGAAATCTATCTAGTAGGCCAGCCAGCATCGTCAATTAGAGGCAGTAAACTCCCGACGATGCGTCAAGTCCTGAAGTTCTTCTTTCACACAGTGAATGAATCTGGTGACAGACAGGAGACGTTTAAAGAAACAGTGAGAAACGTACTCACGTTCTGGAATTTAGCTCGCATCAAGACTATCTCAGAGAGGGGGTGCCGGGAGAAGCTGACAAGGTTATGGGAGCACTGGAGAAGTCTACAAAAAAGTCGGGACAGGGCTGCAAAGGACAAGGTTGAAAACTTCAAGTCTCAACTTGACCTGTTGTGGGACATCGGAGCACCGGACGCCGTAGAGGACATCGAGAAGAACCGGCTGCTTACACCGGCCGACAAACAACAAGACATCGCCTTCTATCAAGACCAACGCGGAGAAAGAAAAGCGTTCATGAGTGGTAACGATAAGATTTTTGCCGCTAAGAAGAGAAAGCAGGAGGAACGAGTCGAGAAGCAAAGGTCGAAACAGGGAAGGTTCGCAGCCTGTGAACCAAGCAGCAGTGATTCGAGACCTCAAACCTCTGTGGTGGCTGACACCCCAACGGAAGTAGAAATGGAGAAAAAGGACACAGCGATACAACCTGGCAGGTACACATCAAAGCACCCTTATGTGACGGTTCAGCTTCCACGTCCAAGAGCCAGCATTAAAGGAACTTGCTGACCGTCTTTGGATATCCAATAACGAAGTAAGTGTATCCATAAATGTGTTTGGAATGTTTGAAATTTCTGTTAATTATTTGATAAGCACTTAAACAGTCGACATTTTCTACTGACACCCTTGCCTGCTTTTGCTCGCAGATAGTTTCGGTGGTCGCAGCAGTGCTGCGCTCTGCTAACCCGCCAGGCGATCTGTCTGAGTTCCGGATCTCGAGAGAGACTGCGAGACGGGCGCGAGCTTCACACCGTCGTCAGGTAGCTGCCGCACAAAGGGAAGCCTTCACGCCTCCACCACATGCAGTGGTGCACTGGGATGGTAAGCTGGTTAAGGTGAGAACACGTTTAGGTACTACATTAATATTTTATCAAAGCCTAGACTATTGTAATATATTGTTAGAAATGTATCAAATCATTAACAAAAAGCTTGGAGAAAAGGCAGCCTTGATAATTCTTCATTATCTGTCTGAATTTTTATATTTCTCTTATTTCAGAACGTCGTGGGAGAAGAAGAACACCGACAGGCCATCTTCATCTCAGGGCGCGGCCATGAGGAAGGGAAGCTGCTTGCTGTCTTGCCAGTGAAGGACGGCACTGGCCTGACCCAGGCACGCGCAACAGCTCGTGCTATCGAGGACTGGAGCTGCGCTTCAAACGTCAAGGCATTGTGCTTTGATACAACGTCATCCAACACAGGGCGAGTCCAAGGTGCGGTTGTCCATCTGGAGGCGCTGCTGGAAAAACAGCTGTTGAGGCTTGGGTGCAGACACCACGTCATGGAACTGGTGGTGAGAGCCGCTGCCAGCAACATCTTCGGCAAAACATCGGCCCCTACGGACCCTCTCTTCCAGACTCTTAAGAAAAGGTGGAGTCAACTAGATCACTCTCAGTATCTCAGGCTGGACATTGCAAATCTACCAGAGTCCGACTGGCTCAGTCACCTCCGACACAGGACCATTAGCTACCTGCTGACCGTCACAGAATGGGCCGGAGAGGATTACCGAGAAGCGGCAGAACTAACGCTCCTCGTCCTCTGTGTGAATCCTCCGCGAGGCACGCACTTTCTGCGTCCTGGCGCATGTCACCACTCTCGCTGGATGTCGAAGATCATATACTACCTCAAGATCTACATGTTTAGCCACCAGCTAGAGCTCAGCGGTGACCTGTGCGTCAAGCTGCAGAGGATGGCGATCTTTGTGTCTCTGCTGTACACACCGGCGTGGCTGAAATCACCAGTAGCCGAGGACGCGCCTGTGAATGACCTGCAACTGCATCACGAACTCCTCCGCTACAGGGCTGTGGACTGTGAGGTGGCTGATGCGGCGCTGGCGGTCGCGAGCCGCCACCTGTGGTATCTAAGGCCACAGACCGTCGTTCTGTCGCTGTGCAGCGAGAAGTTGAGTGCGGCAGAGAAAAAGGAGATGGCGACCAAATTGAGCTGCCTAGAAGAAACGAACGACTACGCCAACGACAACTTGGTCATCCAACAGACTACACGGCTTTCCGACCTGATAGATGAACGTTCATGGATGATCTTCAAGGAGCATCATGTGTGCGGCACAGCATGGCTGATGTCACCGGTGGAAGACTGGGAGAAAAGCAGAGAGTTCATGAAGCTGAAAGATTTCTCCAGAAGCCTGAAGGTAACCAATGACGTGGCCGAAAGGGGAATAAAGCTTATGCAGGACTTCATTGGTTCAGTCACGAAGGATGAGCAGCAGCTGCAGGATGTCATGCAACTTGTGGAAAAGCACAGGAAGCAGATGAGTGGCTTCAGCAAGTCTGCTCTGATGCAACTGTGAGAGTTGAATAGAGGGGGGGGGATTGAACTTTCAAATTGCATCTCCTCCTAGAGTTATTGACCTATTTCAATGATGTTTGTTTTTTTAAGAGGGAAATATATCATGGAAAAGACTGTGACGGCAAAATATTGATATGTGTTTTCGAATAAATGGAAAAGTCAAAACTATGAATATTTTGGAATCTGGTTCCCTTAACGCAGGTAAAGCCTTTGACCTGAACTAGAAGGTCAACTAAGAGGTGCATGCAATCGAATTAGGTGTCAATGGAAAGCTGAATAGCTGCTCTAGCCAGCCATTAGGGTTAAGTAGTGAAAAGCAGCGCGATTGCTGATCTATAAGAGAAAAAGCTTGAGTTTTGACGTTTTTTCGCAAAAATTCATTTTTTATATTTGGATTCGCGACCCCTAGAACATGTTGGATTTCATTAATTCTGGCACCAATGAATTTAGGAGTAACGAAATAATGGGAAAAAACACCCCCACCCACAATTTTCTAAAATTGGGAAAAATGAGCAACCCTATTCCTCACACTACTGTCCATAGAACATACACAAAATACTCTGTATATTTTTAACTTTTGTCTTGATTTAATATATCAATGGTTCCCAACCTGTAGTTTGTGGGCGCCATGGTGCCCACGGAACCATTTTATGGAGCCCACGGGGGTTTATGAGAAAATTTTGATATATTTGGGATTGTTGTTAAAGAGTGAAATTAATGAAAATATGCAATAACTTGATGCAACTGTCGTGTACAGGATGTGTATATTTACCCCAGACTGGGCCCAGGGAAAGATCAAGCCTTCTTACTGGGGTAAATACACTCTCCTGTCCAAGAGTAAATGTGAAAAGTATGTAACTGGTAACAGGAGTAAAACTGTAAATAATTCTACAATACAAATGAGATATTTTTTACTTAAATGTAGATCCAAAGTTTTGGCACCCTCCACTATACTGTATTTGCAATGATAAATGTGGCCCAGAGTTGACAAACGGTTGGGGACCACTGTAATCTATGTCATCTCTTAACATTTGTCTTGCAGCAGTCAACTCAATATTGCCACCATTCTTTGGGGTTTCAATACTCTTTGGTCCTCCCATCATAAAGTTAGTAAGGAATGGACTTACATTATTAGCAGTTGGTTTCAGTAACAAAAGAAATAGTGTATTGGAAATATGTAAGATGAAGAAAATAAGATACATTACTGTATTCTGGTCATATTGTACTGTACTGTAATTCAAGGTATGGAAAGGTCGGAGTACAGAAAAAAGGCAGAGATTGGTATGAATGTATGAAATTAAATGATGGATTTAGGTCATTTATGAGGGAAATATCATAGAAGAGTGTCTTAAAATTGACTAAACCATCGGAAAAACACATTGCTCAACTCGAGCGCCGTGGTTGGTCTAAACTACAAATTGAACAATAATACAGTGACCCCCTCGTTTAACGAACACCTCGGTTAACGTAATTTCGATTAACGAACTGCCTTCCATAAGGATCTTCAATTCGGTTAACGAAGTTCTTACAAACCGACCTCAACATGTTTTCGCTTGCACTGACCGGGCAACCATCTTTAGTATCAGTCTGCCAATACATTAATCGGTTCTAGGGCTTAAATTCCTTACTATTTTAGTAAATATCAAGAAGTTTATACGCTTCAATAATTGTAAAAGTTTAATATTCAATTTTTTAGTCATTTTAACAATTATTGAACATAACTGAAGGTAAAGTGACTAGTTTAATGCGCGGCATCCAGCCTCTTAACACAGCAAACAGGAGTTAGTCTCTCTCTGTTTTCACTGGAGGTAACATCTTGCTTGAGACTCTCTTCAACTAAACGCTTTTTTTCTGTGTTTCCAAGCAAATTATTGGTCATTTTGAAAATATATAATGCAGTGCAGTGTTGATTTAAAGAAAATAATCTTGAATTACACCAAGAGAGCTAAAATTTTATGGGTGAAATGGCGCCATGGGGTGACTTCTCTTCCACCCCAATGCACGCGTTAAAAAACTGTTACACCACACGTATATTTTACCTAAACTGTGCCTGAATGAATATATTCTCGGAAATAAATAGTAGTTCTGCTGAAACGTGGTGTATTTCAATGTAAAATAGGATAAAATACATGACAAAAACAGAAGACTTTACCTAAGCTTTCGATGTTCTTGAGATGTTATTCGTTTTTTTACTAGTTTTCGGTTAAAATACTGTTATATTACAATGATATTCTATTCATACTGTGCTTGATATGATACATTCACGGAAATGTAATATTTTTGCTGAAATTACGTACGTATTACAGTGGAAAGTGGGATAAAATCGTGACGAAAACAATGAATTTGAAATATAATGCGATATTAGCCCCCTAAATCGGTTAATTCGGACAATCGGCTAAAACGGACACCCTCCCCCCCCCCTATTAGTCCGAATTAACGAGGGTCGACTGTATTATCAGAGATACCCCACGGAAGGCATGCGGGCCCGCCTGAAGTTGTACACTCCTCCATACAAATGTTTGCGGATGACGCCAAGTTATTTCGGGAAATAAAGAACCAAGCGGACTGCAAAGAACTGCAGAAGGATCTTTGTGAGCTCCAAGAATGGTCAAAGAAATGGCTGCGGAGATTCAATGTCACGAAGTGTAAGAGGATGCACCTGGGGCGTACCAACGGTAAGGAGGCATATCATATGTCCCAACAGGATGAAGAAACTGCACTATTCGAGACTGAATGTGAGAAGGACCAATGTGTGTATGTTGACAATGAGCTGAAGTTCTCAGGCCATTGTGAGAAGAAGGTAAATCAGGCAAATAAATTATTAGGTCGTTCGGATATCATAATGATTTAAGAGTGAAGTGCTTCCCCATCTGGAGTACTGTCACCCCGTCTGGTCCTTGTGATATGTTAGGGACTGTCAATTGGTTGAAAATGTTCAAAGGAGGGCCACCAGACTGGTGCCTGCACTTCGGCACCTCAGCTACCCTGAGAGATTGGAGCGCCTGAACTTGCCTAGCTTATATTACAGACGGGCAAGGGGCGACCGAACTGAGGTGTATAAGCATCTAAAGGGGCACTACTCAGTCGAGTGTCCTTACCTGAAGCTGGCGGACGCTCGCCCCACAAGGGGTCACAGCTCAAGATTGAAGAAGCCTCAGGTCCAGAAAACTGTGAGGGCAAACTTTATCGGAGTGAGAGTTGTGAACTCTTGGAACAACCTGCCAGTGTTGTGACGGCACCGAGTGTGAGCTCTTACAGGACCAGACTTGACCAACACTGGAGCAGGTTCAGGTACATTCAGGAGCCAGTTCATGTCCAGTACTTGCCAACAGAGCATAGCAGAGACGTGACCGATTGTCCAAGCGGCTAACAAGCCGATCAGTGGAGAAGAGAATAAAGGTAAAAGTAATACAGTACTGTAGCCTAGTGTGCGTGCCACTCTCCCGTACCTCCTGGGTTTGAGCCCGATGTCGAGGATAAATAAAGAAAGGTGTTCCTGAATGCATTAGCGTTTTTATCACAGCTGTCTATATATTTATATATGACAGTGTGACTAGGTTAAATAAATTCTAGATTATTATAAATAGTCTAGCATAATATATAGGCCATTAAATCACGTTTTTAGCCTTATTAATAGAGGGTAAAATATGCTAAAGGTAAAGGAACTGTGCATGCTCAGAAACCAGAATATTAGTAAACAAACAAATTTACCTGGTAGCGAAGCTGTCACTTTTACCAGTTATAATTTATACACGACTACAGTACCACGTTACCTGTGTATGGGAAACAGCAGATGCAGGTATGTACTTATTTTAATTCTAGAAACTAATTTTCAATTTAATAAAGCAGCAAAGGCAAATATACGGCTGGTGACCGTCAGTGGTTCAGTAATTATGAGAATTTTTTTAAGAGAATTTTGGCAAAACTGCAGTTTTGGACAATACCCCTAGTAGTTGAGCAATGTGTTTTTCCTATTGTTTAGACAATTTAAGACACTTCTATGATGATTCCGGTATATTTAAGTAATTTGTGAGGGACACGTTATAAAAGAAGTGTCTTAAAATTGTCTAAACACTCGGAAAAGCACATTGCTCAACTCGAGATCCATATTGTCTGAAACTGCAGTTATATCACAGTTTTGTACACTGATTATGCTTTTCCTAAAGTCACTTTTCACTATGTACCTGTCTTTGTTTGGGATAAAAAAAAATTTCCAATGTTATTTGATGAGTTTCGGATGAATTTGATATTCATTTCAGCCGGAAATCAATAGTTTTTTAGGCCCCCCCCACCCTACCCACCAATCTTAACGAAATATCACATAATAAAAAACAACCACTATTTTTCTGATTAAACTCTGCAATTAACGTAAAATAATCTCTGTCACAATGTCGGCACAGCTCTTTCCACCTGTTCAGCCTTATCTGGTTATTCTGGTACTGAAAAATCAAATCTCTGCTCCCGACGCACCCACGCATTGTTCATTGGCTAAGACAAAAAAACTCTTGCCCAATTATAAGTCCCCTATTGCTATAGCTAATAAGAAACTCCCCCAGAGAGATTTGAGCACCTGCAATGGCCTAGCTTATACTACAGATGGGCAACCTAACTAAGGTGTATAAATATCTCAAGGGGCACTAATTAGTTGAGTGTCCATACTTGAAGCTGGCAGACGCTCACCCCACAAGGGGTTACAGCTCAAGGTTGAAGAAGCCGTAAGTCCAGAAAATTGTAAAGGAGAACCTTTTCAGAGTGAAATTTTGGAACTCTTGGAACATCTGCCAAAGAGTGTTGTGACGGTAATGAGTGTGAGCTCTTTCAAGACAAGACTTGACCAACACTGGAGCAGGTTCAGATATATTCAGGAGCCAGTTCATGCCCAGTACTAGCCAACAGTGCGTAACAGACACATGACCGACAACCACCTAAGCGACTAACGAGCTGATCAGTGGCGAAGAGAATAAAGGTAAAAAAAAAAAAGTCATGTATTGTCAGCTTGTGTTAGGAGATTATGAAGATGAAAATAATTGGGTATTTCTGAGAACAGCACTACCACCAGAAGTTGTTCGATTTCATTCATTTTTCCACATATGTTATTATTATAGTAAGTTTTTTAAAAGAGGCTACATTTACTAGAACCTAATAGAACCTGACCTAACCAACCAAAGAAACCTACCAAACCCTACCCAATTTCCTGGCTGGGGAGGCTCTGTTCCCCGAACTTTTTGCCAAATTAAGCAGAAAGTACTTACTTTGATATCTGGTACCAATAAAAGCAACTTTCTTAAAGTGTCTTGGTGTCTTAAACTGCAATTTAATCAGTCAATTGAAAGCACATATCCACACACATTTATGTTAACTTAGGTTATACAGTAGTTACAGGACTGTCACTCGGTGCTAATACGGGAGCAAATACCCTTTTAACCCCTGAAATTTTCTTCCATAGTAATTGATAATGTGCTTGAGCAATTGCTTTGTGTTTGTAATTATACATTTTCAACTGCAGTTGTGACAGAATTTAAAGATCAATTATACAGAGTACTCTCCTCATATCTGTGGGTTGGCGACTACAGCCCAAGAACATTTAGAGTGGAGGACTCCTCCACTCTAAATGTTCTTGGGCTATTTTTACCAATCCTCTGAGGTTATTTATCTCTCTGGTAACCCAGTTATTAATTTATTTCATCCATCCCAGTCTCTACCTTCCCCTGTCCCCGTTGGCTCTCTAGCCTCAATTTTGCCCATGAATATTTGTTATTATTCCCTCATCCCTAATTATATGACCAAGTGTCTCATTTTTTTTCTGTACATTTCAAGTATTTCTCTTGAAGTTCTTGCTAATCTTAGGACCTCTTCCTTTCTTTTTCTCTCAGTGTAGCCTTTTCTTAGCATTCTTCTATAACACTACTTTTAAAAGGCCTCCGACTTCTTTCTGGTTTCTGCTGAAAGTGTCCACAGGTTAGGATGTTAGATAAGTTTAGGTCTGGTTCTAATAGGTTCTGTATATTCTTGCTTCCATTTTCGTTTTCAGTGTCATGCAAATAGTATCTCCAGGAATTTTGGTTCAGATCTATAAGTTACTTCTGGTGGTAACTGTCTCCTCCACCTTTACCAAGAATATTTGAAAGTGTTTCATCTTAATTACCGGGGTAGTTATAATACTCGTACAGTATTACTTTTTTTTTTAAAGAAAAGAGAAAAAGGATTGCCGTCAAGAATGATATGAATCTGTGATAGTCATCTCAAAGTTTAATGTTTAATTTTTTCTCTTCACTATCAGCACAGGAGGTGTGGGTGGTGTTGAATCATGTTAAATCATTGTATGTATTTCAATGGGAAATTTAAGGCACAGTATGGGACTGCAGCCCTAAAATATACACCCCAAATTCCTGGACCCTTAACAGCACATTACAGATCTGTGGCTAACTTTGCTGTGCAAAGAATATTTTGGTCTTTAAATTTTAAACCTACCTCATAAAACTTTTAACATGTATACAAATTAAAAGGAGAACACAGTACAGTATAAGACTGAAAGGTCCCCCACCCCCACCAAGTTTACTGCACCTTGTACTAGTGGGATCACCTGATGATTATCCACCCAAGTTTATTTCACTAAAGATTAATCACCCAAATGCTATCCTAACCTAACCTCATCCCCACAAATAGCATTAAGGTGGTTAATCTTTAGGTGTAATAACTTGGGGTGGAGATTCTTCTTGGGATCTGAGCAAACCAATACCAGTACAGTGAACCCTCACTTTAGGCGGTTAATTTAACCCACGGCGGCCCGCGTAAAGTGAGAAACGCTTAAAGTGAACAACATAATATATGGGATTAATTGAAATAGAGACCGGGCCGACCCCCAAACTCCACTTTTTCCCGACACAATACGTATGTTTTACTAAAAATAACATCTGAACTTTATGATGGTATTCACCCACGCATAATATAGAAGGGAACAGTCAATAAGAGAAGA